TTGCCATGTCCTTTTGTCTCAGGTAACCATGGTGACCGCGCTTATGCTGATTAGACGCCATTTCCCGGAAGCTGCATTCGCCGCCAAAACATTTGATTCTGGACCTCGCCGCACGGCACATAAATCGGTGACTTCAGTCACAGAGGCGCACCAACAATCTGCCATCTTTGAAGCTCAGTAATCTCTGACATGACTCCGTATTACCAGCAGCGAATGAGGAAAATGAGGCTTCCCGCCGGATAGCTAAGTGTCTCATTACACAGCGGAAGCCAAAGAATGTTCCATCACTTCCACCGCCAAACATGGTGTCACTTTCACACCGTCCAATCATGGAGGGTCTCCAGATCTGTGTCCAGCCCCCTGTATCTCGTTCATCAAACGTAAATGTGTGATAAATGAAAGGCTTGTTCCATTTTCTCCTCCAGGAGAGGAAAGGTCGGAACTTCTGGTGGAAGAGGAAGAGAATCCCCTGGAGAGGAAGAGAATCCCCTGGAGAGGAAGAGAATCCCCTGGAGAGGAAGAGAATCCCCATGGAGAGGAAGAGAATCCCCATGGAGAGGAAGAGAATCCCCATGGAGAGGAAGAGAATCCCCTGGAGAGGAAGAGAATCCCCTGGAGAGGAGACTACGTCCAGGTGGAGGATCAGAGATACCTGACCGACCTTCACCATCAGCGTCCCGCTGATCCAGTCCTTCCACCTGCGCTGTGGATCGCGTTTGGCGGAGGCGTTGTCTTTCTTCTCCATGGGTGAAAAAAATCTGATTGATATTCGACCAATCCAGCTACAGTGTGTGGCCGTCTCCACTCAATTGTCTAACCAATTTAGCACTAGAGCGATTTTTTTTTTCACTTTCTGCCCGTGTCAAAATCTGCATTTTTGGCTGTGAAATACATAAAAGCGGTAAACAGCTGCGGAAATAACTTGTGACATAAAAAAATTGCGACAGCCACCGCATTTCATTCCCCAGGGCCTCTGCTGTCAGAAGATACATCATCTTTCGGGGGTTCTAAGCGATTGTCCAGCACGTAAATCCTGACAGCAAGCGGGTAAAGTGTGTACAGCCAGCCTACCAGTCCACCAATCCGCCGTGTATAAACGTGCGGCAGGACAAACGCATTTAAAGAGACGCATTTTAGTTTCAGCGTCTCTGCGGAGCTACCATTTCACAAGGACATATGAGGACTCTAAAATGTGATTGTAGGAGGAAGGATGTGTGAGAAACGTACGATGGAAGCTTTTACATGACTCCTGTACATCAGGCGACAACCAGTTCGGTTTCACCGCAAGTGATGTCACTGCCCTAGAAAAGGCGAACAAGCCGCGAGTACGAGGATGTCTGCTGCCTCCTGCGGGGGGAAGAATCTTCTATCGTGTGCAGGACGAAGTTCTACAAAATGTCACATCAGTCAGGACACAAAGCACGGGTTCTAGTCCTGTGTAAAAGTGCTGCGTAAAACTGTTGACTTGACTCCTCCATCGCTTCTGTTGGGTGGTGAATATCTTGGGTGGGGGCTTCCATCGATTCTGTTGGGTGGTGAATATCTTGGGTGGGGGCTTCCATCGATTCTGTTGGGTGGTGAATATCTTGGGTGGGGGCTTCCATTGATTCTGTTGGGTGGTGAACAGGGGCGGACTGACCATTTGGGCACTCGGGAACTGCCTGAGGTCAGTAGGGGGCCCCATGCAATGCCCCTGGTACCTTTTATAGGTTTTTTTGGGTGTGTGCGTTGAGTGTGGGCAAGGACACAAGGGCCCCATGATTTCCTATTGACCAGGGGCCCCATGAGTCAGTCTGCCCCTGGTGGTGAATGTCTTGGGTGGGGGCCTCCATCAATTCTGTTAGGTGGTGAATGTCTTGGGTGGGTGCCTCCATCGATTCTGTTGGGTGGTGAATATCTTGGGTGGGGGCCTCCATCGATTCTGTTGGGTGGTGAATATCTTGGGTGGGGGCCTCCATCGCTTCTGTTGGGTGGTGAATATCTTGGGTGGGGGCCTCCATCAATTCTGTTTGGGTGGTGAATATCTTGGGTGGGGGCCTCCATCGCATTGGTTGGGTGGTGAATATCTTGGGTGGGGGCCTCCATCGCATCGGTTGGGTGGTGAATATCTTGGGTGGGGGCCTCCATCTCATCGGTTGGTTGGTGAATGTCATGGGTGGGGGCTTCCAACGACTTCATCTGAGCCATGATCCTGCATATGGTACTGTATAAATGCCACGGAGAGGTAAAAAGCAGATGCCCGAACAGGGACTTGGGCACTCGGGAACTGCCTGAGGTCAGTTGGGGGCCCATGCAATGCCCCTGGCACCTTTTATAGGTTTTTTTTCGGTGTGCTTTGAGTGTGGGCAAGGACACGGGCCCCATTATCCCCTATTGCCCGGGGGCCCCATGAGTTGTCAGTCTGCCCCTGGTGGTGAATGTCTTGGGTGGGGGCCTCCATCGATTCAGTTGGGTGGTGAATATCTTGGGTGGGGGGCCTCCATCAATTCTGTTGGGTGGTGAATATCTTGGGTGGGGGCCTCCATCGATTCTGTTGGGTGGTGAATGTCTTGGGTGGGGGCCTCCATCGCATCTGTTGGGTGGTGAATGTCTTGGGTGGGGGCCTCCATCGCATCTGTTGGGTGGTGAATATCTTGGGTGGGGGGCATCCATCAATTCTGTTGGGTGGTGAATATCTTGGGTGGGGGCTTCCATCAATTCTGTTGGGTGGTGAATATCTTGGGTGGGGGCTTCCATCGCTTCTGTTGGGTGATGAATATCTTGGGTGGGGGCTTCCATCGCTTCTGTTGGGTGATGAATATCTTGGGTGGTGGCTTCCATCGATTTTGTTGGGTGGTGAATATCTTGGGTGGGGGTTTCCATTGCTTCTGTTGGGTGGTGAATATCTTGGGGGGGGCTTCCATCAATTCTGTTGGGTGGTGAATATCTTGGGTGGGGGCTTCCATCGCTTCTGGTTGGTGATGAATATCTTGGGTGGGGGCTTCCATCGCTTCTGTTGGGTGATGAATATCTTGGGTGGTGGCTTCCATCGATTTTGTTGGGTGGTGAATATCTTGGGTGGGGGTTTCCATTGCTTCTGTTGGGTGGTGAATATCTTGGGTGGGGGCCTTCATCAATTCTGTTTAGGTGGTGAATATCTTGGGTGGTGGCCTCCATGGCTTCATGTGAGCCATGATCCTGCATATGGTGCTATATAAATGCCAGGAGAGGTAAAAAGCAGACGCCCGAACAGGGACTTGAACCCTGGACCCTCAGATTAAAAGTCTGATGCTCTACCGACTGAGCTATCCGGGCTCTGATGATGTCAGCATACCATCCCTCGACTAGAGTGAAACACTGACCTCTGCTGGTGTCAGAATGCCGCTACCCATAATTCCACAGTGCAAGCATCAGCCCGTCTCTGAGCGTGACCACAGTAAATATACATGATATTGCCCAAAGTATTGGCCCCGCCCTCCAGATCATGTGAGGGTTAATGGCAGGAATGTACAGCTGGCCCTGGTCCTATCAGGAAGGATCTGTTTACCCATCAGAAGGTAACCTAGCAGCCGGTCACCTGCTTTGGGACATCGGCAGCCTGTTGTCACCTCTCTGGGATTGATCCCCATGCACTGTGCAGCTCGCAGGCGCCTCTGTTTGGGATACAAATATTCCTCTTGTTTGGTATGTTTTGTGCCTCTGGATCCAGGCAGGTGAGGACGTCTTCACTGCGGACATGGCAGGTCGGGCGTCACACCTCTGTCTGCGGATCTGAGTGCTCACAATGTTCCTCCAGATACCTTTCCTCTATTCCTCATCTCCCCCCCCCCCCAATATGTCACACATCAGATGGGGAGGGACTCCAGCAGAGTGGACGTGGTCCCCTATAGAGGAGGGATGTATGGACAGAGGTGATCTGTGCGGTATCAGTACAGGAGGGGCCCCGGGCGGGGAGGGGGTTGGGGGGGGGTGTGTCATGGTCCCCTATAGAAGGATGTATGGACAGAGGTGATGTGTGCTGTATCAGTACAGGAGGGGCCCCGGGCTCCGGGTGGGGAGGGTGTTGGGGGGGGGGGGGGGTCATGGTCCCCTATAGAAGGATGTATGGACAGAGGTGATCTGTGCGGTATCAGTACAGGAGGGGCCCCGGGCGGGGAGGGGGTTGGGGGGGTCATTCTCCCCTATAGAGGATGTATGGACAGAGGTGATGTGTGCGGTATCAGTACAGGAGGGGCCCCGGGCGGGGGGGGGTCATGGTCCCCTATAGAAGGGTGTATGGACAGAGGTCATGTGTGCGGTAACAGTACAGGAGGGGCCCCGGGCTCCGGGTGGGGGAGGGGGTTGGGGGGGGTCATGGTCCCCTATAGAGGAAGAATGTATGGACAGAGGTGATCTGTGCGGTGTTGAGAGGAGGGGCCCCCGGCTCTGGGTGGGGAGGGGGTTGGGGGGGTCATGGTCCCCTATAGAGGGATGCATGGACAGAGGTGATCTGTGCGTTATCAGTACAGGAGGGGCCCCGGGCGGGGGGAGGGGGTTGGGGGGTCATGGTCCCCTATAGAAGGATGTATGGACAGAGGTGATGTGTGCGGTATCAGTACAGGAGGGGCCCCGGGCGGGGGTTGGGGGGGGTCATGGTCCCCTGTAGAGGATGTATGGACACAGGTGATGTGTGTGGTATAAGTACAGGAGGGGCCCCCGGGCGGGGAGGGGGTTGGGGGGTCATGGTCCCCTATAGAGGAGGGATGTATGGACACAGGTGATGTGTGTGGTATCAGCACAGGAGGGGCCCCGGGCTCCGGGTGGGGAGGGTGTTGGCTGCTGTTGTCACTGCAAACAGAAATGTTTCATTTGTAGATAGTGGAGCCGCCGGGGTCTGGCCGGGACCAGCTGCTGCCTATTGTCCTGGAGAGCCTCTGATTGGAGGACATTGTGAGATCCAGCTGCTGCCTATTGTCCTGGAGAGCCTCTGATTGGAGGACATTGTGAGATCCTCGCCATAAAGAGAGGAAGGAGAGCAGACAATGTGCCTGAAATACAACCTGCAGCCCCCTCCAGGTGAGAGCTCAGCGTGGGCAGGAGTAGTATAGCGCCAACAGTCGGGGTGCGTCGTACAACATGGGGGGCGGTGGGGTTATACCAATCAGTAGCAGAGGACCGGATATAGTGTGCAGTACAGCCAAGAGATACATGGTGATTGTGAATGGGGGGGGGGGGGGGTATTCTATGGTGTGTAGTAGTGGGGAGCGGGGGGGTGTAGTACTGGGGGGGTATTCTATGGTGTGCAGTAGTGGGGAGCGGGGGGGGTGTAGTACTGGGGGGGGTATTCTATGGTGTGTAGTAGTGGGGAGCGGGGGGGTGTAGTACTGGGGGGGGTATTCTATGGTGTGTAGTAGTGGGGGAGCGGGGGGGTGTAGTACTGGGGGGGTATTCTTGGATGGTGTGTAGTAGTGGGGAGCGGGGGGTGTAGTAGTACTGGGGGGGGTATTCTATGGTGTGTTAGTAGTGAGTGGGAGCGGGGGGTGTAGTACTGGGGGGGGGGTATTCTATGGTGTGTAGTAGTGGGGAGCGGGGGGGTGTAGTACTGGGGGGGGGTATTCTATGGTGTGTAGTATGTGGGGAGCGGGGGGGTGTAGTACTGGGGGGGGGGTATTCTATGGTGTGTAGTAGTGGGGAGCGGGGGGGTTGTAGTATTGGGGGGGGGGTATTCTATGGTGTGTAGTAGTGGGGAGGGGCGGGTGTAGTATTGGGGGGGGTTTATTCTTATGGTGTGTAGTAGTGGGGAGCGGGGGGGTTTGGTGGTTGTTTACTTGGGGGGGGGGGGTATTCTATGGTGTGTAAGTAGTGGGGAGTACGGGGGGGTGTAGTTTATTGGGGGGGGGGGGTATTCTATGGTTTGTGTTGTAGTAGTGGGGAGCTGGGGGGTGTAGTACTGGGGGGGGGGGGGTTAATTCTATGGTGTGTAGTATTGTGGGGGAGCGGGGGGTGTAGTATCTAGTCTGGGGGGGGGGGTATTCTATGGTGTGTAGTAGTGTGGGAGCTGGGGGGTGTAGTAGTACTGGGGGGGGGGGGGTATTCTATGGTGTGTAGTACTGGTGGGGAGGGTGATCTATGGTGGGGTGTAGTAGTGGGGAGCGGGGGGTGTGTAGTAGTGGGGGGGGGGGGGGGGGGTCTATGGTGTTTGTTCTATGGGTGTAGTGGGGAGCGGGGGGGGTGTAGTACTGGGGGGGGGGGGGGATTCTATAGTTGTGTAGTAGTGGGGAGCGGGGGGGTGTAGTTACTGGGGGGGGGTGTTCTATGATGTGTTAGTACTTAACTGGGGGGGGTATTCTATGGGGTGTAGTATGTGGGGGGGGGGTGTTTTCTATGGTGGGATGTAGTAGTGGGGGGGGGGGGTGGGGGTATTTATGGTGTAGTATGGGGTTTTTGTTTTACTTTTGTGTAGTACTTTATTTTGGGGGGTTTTTCTATGAGTGTGTTAGTTATGGGGGGTGTTTTTTTTTTATTGTTAGTACTTGTTTTTGGGGGGGGTATTTTGTATTTCTGTGTTTAGTACTGGTTGGAGGGGGGTGTTTACTGGGTTTTCTGTGGGTTTTTATGGGTTTCTGTTTGGGGGGGTTGTTTTGTGGGGGTGTTTAGTACTGGGGGGGGGGGGGTTTCTGTTTGTTTAGTTCTGGGGGGGGGGGGATGTTCTGTTTATGGTGGTGTATTATATGGGGGGGGTGTTCTTTGGTGATGTAGTACGTGGGGATGGGGGGGTTTTTTTTTTTGTAGTTAGCTGGGGGGGGGTGGGGGTTTTTTGTCTTTGTTGTAGTATGGGGGGGGGTTTTTGTTTTTTCTTGTTTTTGTTTTAATTTATTTTTTAGGGGGGGGGTTCTTTGGTGTGTAGTTTTGTATGGGGGGGGTTTTTATTTGTGGTGTGTTAGTTTTGGGGTTTTTTTTGTTTTTTTGTTTACTTTTATTTTTTGTTTTGGTTTGTAGTATGTTGGGGGGGTTGGGGTGTTTTTGGTGTGTAGTTGAGGGTTGGGGGGGGGGGTTTTTGGTTTTAGTAGTATGGGTATGGGGGGGGGGTTTTTCTTTTGGTGTGTAGTTTTGTGGGTTGTGGGGGGGATTGTTTTGTGGTGGTTGTGGTACTGGGGGGGGGGGGGGGGTTTTTTTAGTGTGGTGTGTAGTTTGGGGGGGGGGGGGTGGGTGTTCATTTTGTGGTGTGTAGTATTGGGTTTGGGGGGGGGTGTTTGTTGGGTGTGTAGTTTTTTTTTTTTTTTGTACTGGGGGGGGGGAGGGGGTGTTCTGTGGTGTGTAGTACTGGGGGGGGGGGGGGTGTTCTGTGGTGTGTAGTACTGGGGGGGGGGGGGGTTGTGTTCTGTTGGTGTTGTTTGTACTGGGGGTGGGGGGGGTGTTCTGTGGTGTGTTAGTACTGGGGGGGGGGGGGTGGTTCTGTGGGTTTTGTGTGTTGTTGGGGGGGGGGGGGGTTCTTGTGGTGTGTAGTATCTGGGGGGGGGGGGGTGTTCTGTGGTGTGTAGTACTGGGGGGGGGGGGGGGGTGTTCTGTGGTGTGTAGTACTGGGGGGGGGGGGTGATTCTGTGGTGTGTAGTACTGGGGGTGGGGGGTGGTACGGGTGGGTGTTGTCCTGTGGTGTGTAGGACGGGTGATTCATAGGGGGGGGGGGTATTGTTCTGTGGTGTGTAAATACTGGGGGGGGGGGGGGGGGTTGTTCTGTGGTGTGTAGTAACTGGGGGGGGGGGGGGTGTTCTGTGGTGGTTTAGTACTGGGGGGGGGGGGTGTTCTGTGTGTGTAGTACTGGGGGGGGGGGGGGGTGTTCTTCTGGTGGTGTGTGTAATTGTACTGGGGGGGGGGGGGGTGTTTTGGTGTGTGTAGTACTTTGGGGGGGGTGGGGTGTTCTGTGGTATATGTATTCAGTATTCTGGGGGGGGGGGGGTGTTCTGTGGTGGGTAGTACTGGGGGGGGGGGGGTTTCTTGATGTGGTGTGTAGTACTGGGATGGGGGGTGTTCTGTGGTGTGTCAGTACCTGGGGGGGGGGGGGGGTCTGTGGTGTGTTAGTACGGGGGTAGGGGGGGGGTAGGGGGGTTCACGTCTGTGAGCATGGGTGTTAGTACGGGGGGGGGGGGGGGGGGAATGTGTTCTGTTGTTGTGTGGCTGTGGTTGTGCTGGGGGGGGGACAGTACTGGGGGGGTTCTGTAGGGGATTGCAGAGTGGGGTGGGGACTAGCTGAATGGTGTGTAGTAGGTTGGGATGAGCGGGAGTGGTGTAGTGAATGGGGGGGGGAGGGTATTATTCTATGTGTGTGTAGTAAGGGGGGAAGTGGGGGTTTTGAATGTAGTACGGGGGATGGGTAATCTGTGAGTGTGTGTAGGGGAGCTGGAGAGTGGAGTCGGGGGTGATTAGGCTGTGGTGTGTGGGAGGGACATATGACTGAAAGGAGCGGGTTGGGGATATTTTGTAGGGGGGAGGGGGGCATGAACCCGGGGGGGGGGGGAGGGGGGGGGGGCACAATAGTAAACAATCCCATCCCAATATTACAACACAGGCAGGGGCTGGGTGGTCCTCTTGCTTGGAGTCCATGCCGGGAGGGATATGTAGGGGGGTAGGATATACTATTCTGGGGGGTGGAGGGGTTATTCTGTGCATCTCATAGGAGGACACAATGGAGGCCGTGTTTTCTGATATTATTGGCATAAAGTCAAGGAGGCCAATCACTGTGGGACAATAAAAGAACCGGAGTAAGCTGAGGTTCCATCATGCCATTCTGGGGGAGCCCCCCTATTATGGGTGAATGCTGACTGATAGGAGGCTTTGCACTGGTGTTGGAGAGAGGGGTGGAGGACACTGGAGTGTTGGGAAGGTAGGAGGGATTGGCAGAGGGGGGTGGAGGACACTGAATGGAGGCCAGCGGAGGGATTGGCAGAGAGGGGTGGAGGACACTTTGAATGGAGGCCAGTGGAGGGATTGGCAGCCAGAGAGGGGTGTGGAGGACACTGAATGGAGGCCAGTGGAGGGATTGGCAGAGAGAGGGGTGGAGGACACTGAATGGGAGGCTTGGTTACAGAGGGATTGGCAGAGAGGGGTGGAGGACACTGATTTGCATGGAGGCCAGCAGGAGGGATTTGGCAGAGAGGGGTGGAGGACATCTGCGAATTGGCCCCAGCGGAGGGATTGGCAGAGAGGGGTGGAGGACACTGAATGGAGGCCAGTGGAGGGATTGGCAGAGAGGGGGTGGAGGACACTGAATGGAGGCCGGTGGAGGGATTGGCAGAGGGGGGGGGGGAGGACACTGAATGGAGGCCGTGGAGGGGATTGGCAGAGAGGGGTGGAGGACACTGAATGGAGGCCGGTGGAGGGATTGGCAGAGGGGGCGTGGAGGACACTGGAGGTTGGGAAGGTGGAGGAGTCTGGCCTCACTGTTAATATATTTTTCCTCTTTTCAGATTGTGAGCCCTGTGATTGCTCCTCCAGACAGCGTGCCATGGGCCGCCGCCCACCACACCTTCCTGATAGACTGTGACACCGGGTTGTGTGCATCTGCCTTAGTGGGGACCCCATCGGTCAGAGCTCCGCCTCCTCCCAGGCCTCCAGAACCCCCATGGCTAGGAGCCTCCTGAGGACCTGTCTCACCAACTGTGTGAAGGAGGAGCCAATGGACGCAGAGCATCGCCAGCCCACCAATGGCTCGGCCCCAATCCGGGGGATTCCTGTGCAAAGCACCAAGTATCTTCCATCACTGCGCCCGGAGATGCGGGGACAGAAGTGGGCAGATCCCTGCAGGGCGCCCTGAAGAGGTGTGTCTATGGAGGCTGGCCTCCTGCGTACGCTCACACTGACTCCTCCTAGGACTGTCGGCCTGGGGCCCTCGGCCTAAAGGGGCCCTCCTCAGCCTTCAGCTATGCTTAGGCCTGATGACTTGTATGAACCTTCGAGTTACTTTTATTAAATTTGTTGCTTCTTCCAGCCGTGTTTTCTTGTATAGAGAAGCTCTGCCTTCCGACCAGTGTGCAGACCATGGGGCCCCAAAGTGGAATTCTGATGGGGCCCCCTGGTGACCCTGCTGTCACTGATCTCAATGGAATGTATGTCTGTATCAGGCAGGAGACCTATCAGCATAGTCAGTGTGGACCTGAGTGGGGGGGGGGGGGGGTGGGGGGGGGGGGAGGGGGGGGGGGGTTTATGGAGGCGGGGCATCAGTGCAGGGAATCCACTTTTTGACATTAAAGGGGATCTCCATGCGGTCCCGGCAAACCCTCATTTTATAACATCGGCATTAGAATGACAAACCAATATCAGATCGCCTGGTCATGCCGTGTGAGTGCTGCCTGCTGCTGCTGGCCCGCCTCCTTCCACCACTTCCTGGATTCCCAGCATGCTTTGCAGCTTCTCCATTTCTAAAGACTACATTATCCCATTGGTACCTTGCTATCTGCTATGGACCCCGCCTCCTGAAACTCCTCCCCTCAGAAGGTGGGCTCTGTGAAACGTGTGTGACACAGCAGTGCCTGCGCATGGGGGGCCTAGTGACCCCGTGTCCCAGAATTCCAGGAAGGAGATGTGCGGGGGTCATCGTTGGAGCCCTAGTGGGAGGCTGGGATCCCTGGAATACAATGTAGCCGATGGCGGGCGAGGAGGCGGGATCCCTGGAATACAATGTATCGATGGCGGGGATTCTCCCGGGATCCCTGGGAATACAAACGATGGCCGGGGAGGAGGCGGGAATCCCTGGAATACAATGTAGCCGTTGGCTGAAGGCGGGGAGGAGGCGGGATCCTGGAATACAAGTATCGGATGATGGGGAGGAGGCGGGATCCCTGGAATACAATGTATCGGATGATGGGGAGGAGGCGGGATCCCTGGAATACAATGTATCGGATGATGGGGGAGGAGGCGGGATCCCTGGAATACAATGTATCGGATGATGGGGAGGAGGCGGGATCCCTGGATACAATGTATCGGATGATGGGGAGGGGGCGGGATCCCTGGAATACATGTGTATCCGATGGCGGGGGATCCCTGGAATACCATGTATCCGGGGGAGGGGGCGGGATCCCTGGAATACCATGTATCCGATGGCGGGGAGGGGGCGGGATCCCTGGAATACCATGTATCCGATGGCGGGGAGGGGGGCGGGATCCCTGGAATACAATGTATCCGATGGCGGGGAGGGGGCGGGATCCCTGGAATACCATGTATCCGGGGGAGGGGGCGGGATCCCTGGAATACAATGTATCCGATGGGGGGAGGAGGCGGGATCCCTGGAATACAATGTATCCGATGGCGGGGAGGAGGCGGGATCCCTGGAATACAATGTATCGTGGAGGCGGGGAGGTTACACCCCTGTGACGATGGCGGGGAGGTTACATTGGACCAGAGGTACCCTTTCATTTCCCAGCCGCTCTGTCCTCTGATCTCCTGGTGACCCAAGCAACAACTTCCTTCCCACGCAGCTTTCTTTGCAGAAGCACAAGCGACTGTCTTATTGGAGGCACTCTGGGATTTCTTGTAGAACCTGCATTGGGTGTATGGGGTTAATTTCAGTGCTGGACGGGATGACCGGGAGCTGTGTGGGTGACAAATCCTCTCCTGGGACAGCTAAAGTCAGAGGAAAATCTTTCCAATGAGATGGAATCCCCATTCAGACGATTGTCATGGGAGAAGGTGTCCCCCTTAGGATGATTCCCCACCTATTCCTGTTCTGGTGACCCCGAATTCAGGATTGACACCCCCCCCGCCCATTCTTGGTGACACTGGTGGTCACAATGGGAACACAGATGGCGGTGAGCGCTCTTCTCCCCTCCGTATGTCTCTAAATGAAAAGCTTTCCCTGTAGTTCTGGATCCGGGTTCACACGGGTGTGGTGTGTGTGAATCGCTGTGTATGTCAAATGGTCTCTGAGGAGCAATCCAAACGCGTAGATCACTCTTCAGAGATCACCACAAGTGTGAATGAGCTCTTAGGGTCTGTTCACACCAGCCATTGTGGGGCAGTCACACTTTTACCATCCCCCCACCTCTCCAGCCACTTCCCTCTTTAACTGAATTTACATCAATGGACCCCGAAATTGGTCCGCAAAAACGCGGTGCGATGTGCAGAATCTGATCGCATGGGTGACAACACCCTCGTGATCCAATTCTAGTGCGGGCAAAAAACAAAAGTATCCCGGACAGTTCTACGTCGTTCCGGGTCATAACAGTCTTCAGGAAACGGGTGTGAAAGTTCCATGTGTGGTGTCACTGAGTGGATCCGATGTGTCAGTGTAGGAGGGCCGCATTGGGACCCTGTGTGAGACCCTGACAACCGCTGTGTACGGCTTATGCTGTGAGATTTGAAACATTGTAAAAAGAAACACAAACACAATGTTATCTCTGAGCCAAATGTTTACCCTCAAACAATGGCGCATTCCACCCAGAACTCATAAAACAAGGGATGGTGTGATGACACCGGCGTGGGGGAGGGGTTCCTTTACCCTCCAGATCAGCCATTCTCAGCCAGGGGTCCTCCAGCCACTTGGCAGAGCCGGCACCATGACTGCAGGGTGTCATTCTGGCCTCCCCTATAATGGGGCAATCTTTGCCCTGACCCCCACCAATGTAAGTGGCGTCTTCCCAATGACCCCCCCCCCCCGGATATACTAATCTTACCAGGATGTATCTCGGAGTTTTGTTTGGCTATTTCCTTTCTGTGAGAGTTACTGTCCTCCTAAAGAACGTAAAAAAAAAGTTTAACTTTCCAAAGAAAAAAAAAAAAAATGTTGCCGTGAGTTATAAACTAAAAGAATGCCCCCTATTGGTGAGGTGCCGGCAGTGCGGAGCTGACTGTACAGAGTAGGTTTTGTGATTTGAAACCTTGTAAAAAGAAACCTAAGAGCACCGTTATCTCCGATCCAAATATTTACCCTTCAAACAATGGAGCATTCCACCCAGAACTTGTAAAACGGGAGGATGAGATGACCCCGGGTGGGGGTCACCCTTACCTTCTACATCAGCCGTTCGTTCTCAACCAGGGTTCCTTCAGGGCTAGTTGGGGCTTCCACTAGAAATAGCTGGGGAGTCCTCCAGGGCTAGTAGGGGTTCCTCCAGGGCTAGTTGGAGGTTTCTCCATGGACAGCTAGGGATTCCTCCAGGCTAGTTGAAGGTTTCTCCATGGACAGCTAGGAATTTCTCCGGGGCTAGTTGGGGGTTTCTACAGGGATAGCTAGGGTTTTCTCCAGGCTAGTTGGGGGTTTCTCCGGGGCTGCTTGGGGGTTTCTCGGGGCTAGTTGGAGGTTTCTACAGGGATAGCTAGGGTTTTCTCCAGGCTAGTTTGGGGTTTCTCCAGGGCTAGCTAGGGATTCCTCCAGGGCTAGTTGGGGGTTCCTCCAGGGCTAGTTGGAGGTTTCTCCATTGATAGCTAGCAATTTCTCCGGAGCTGGTTTGGGGTTTCTCCAGGGCTAGTTTGGGGTTTCTCCAGGGCTAGTTTGGGGTTTCTCCAGGGCTAGTTTGGGGTTTCTCCAGGGCTAGCTAGGGATTCCTCCAGGCTAGTTGGGGGTTTCTCCAGGGCTAGCTAGGGATTCCTCCAGGCTAGTTGGGGGTTTCTCCAGGGCTAGTTGGAGGTTTCTCCATTGATAGCTAGGAATTTCTCTGGGGCTGGTTGGGGGTTTCTCTGGGGCCATGGTTGGGGGGTTTCTCTGGGGCTGGTTGGGGGTTCTCGGGGCTGGTTGGGGGGTTCTCCGGGGCTGGTTGGGGGGTTCTCCGGGGCTGGTTGGGGGGTTCCTCCGGGCTAGTTGGGGGTTCCTCCAGGCTAGTTGGGGGTTCCTCCATGGCTAGCTAGGAATTCCTCCTGGCTAGTTGGGGGTTCCTCCAGGGCTAGTTGGAGGTTTCTTCATGGATAGCTAGGAATTTCTCCAGGCTAGTTGAGGGTTTCTCCGGGGCTGGTTGGAGGTTTTCTCCGGGGCTAGTTGGGGGTTTCTCTAGGGGTAGTTGGGAGTTCCTCTAGGGATAGTTGGGGGCTTCTCCAGGGATAGTTGGGAGTTTCTCTAAGGATAACTAGTGGTTCCTTGAGTTGTGGATTACTGAACACCCCCAATCTGGTGGTGCCCCCATAGTTCCAGGTCTAGCACCACTTGGCAGAGCCAGCACCGTTCTTGCAAGGCTGTCATTCTGGCCTCCCCTGAAATGGGGAGCCTTCTTCACACTTCTCCCCCCACCAATGTAAGTGGTAATTTTCCCTATGACCCCCCCCAATATACTAATCTTACGAGGTGGTTCCCTGAGACCTACAAATTATTTCCAGGGTTCCTCTGGGGTGAAAAGGTTGAGAAATTCTACTCTATATAGACGGGCCTATTTCAGGTGCTATAAAAGGGTGCCCTCTATTGGTCAGGTGCTGGTACTGTGGAACTGGCTGTGAATATGATTCTTCAATATTAATGACTGAGGCATTACAGTATGTGACATCATAGGTCAGGGGTGTCAAACTGGCGGCCCTCCAGCTGTTGTGGAACTACAAGTCCCATCATGCCTCTGTCTTTGGGAGTCGTACTTGTAACTGCCAATCTTGCAATGCCTCATGGGACTTGTAGTTTGGCAACAGCTGGAGGGCCGCCAGTCTGACACCCGTGCCGTTGCGTTTAGAGCAATAATCCCCAAATATTGTGTTCGGTTTGATCATTCGTAACGTATAATATTTATGTCTTCCAGATCTTTAGGTGGCAGCACTGATGTGATCCGTAGACTATAAACCCGAACTGGGTTGCATTGACATTGTCATGTTTTCACACAATACCATTTTCACCTTTTTCTTCCTCGTTTGTTCCATCTCAGTGCTGCTGACCTCCTGCAGCCTCTTTGCAGTT